GCGAGCCGAGGGGGGGCAGGACCCAGGTCAGGAGCCCAGGCTGGGGAGGGCGTGGCAGGGACAAGGACAGCACGCGCGGAGCCTCCACCCCACACCTCCTGGAGCTGCCCCTTGTGGCTTCCCGTGTGCAGTCGTTGCCAGCCAAGGCTTGAGTTTCATTCTCAAATCCCCTGCCATCAGTAACTGTAATTTCAGTGGCCTCATTTCATCTTAGACGGCAGGGTCGCCTTCAGAAACCAAAATATCTTGGGAGTCGCAGATTGGCTTTATCTCATGAATCAGATTGATTGGCAAGGTCTGTCTAGGGCCGTATGTTTAGGAGCATCATACGCTGCCTCAAATTTCAGAGGGCAAAGGTAAGACTCTCTAGGGATGTGTCGAGGGGGCAGCAGGGGGTGTATTCTCAGACTCTGATCTGGTCAGCCTACTTGGAGGTGGGTGACTCGACCGAGGGCATGCCTGAGTGACTGCATCAGGGCCGGGCTCCTCCTGAGGCAGAGCATTTTTTCCTGCTCTGTGATGTCCCGTGTTGGAAGCCCAGAGCGAGGCTGCCTACGGGGTGTGACCTAAGGGGCATTATGGCACCCCAGCGTCATCCTCTAAAATCCCATCGATGCCGCAGCTTTCTTCCCAGGACTGTATGAAGGATGAGGAGGAGGGCTGGAGAAAAAAGGGATGCGGTCACAGGGATAAAATGATTGCTAAGATAGTGGATGCTAGGGACGGCCTTTTCCTGTAGTTGGGTCAGGAGCGGGTGCCGAGATTACCTGCTCTTACAGGTGTTCAGTTTTTATTAATTTTTAAGTGATTTGTTTTTATTGGCCATGTTCGGGATGAAACCCAGCACCTTGTAAGGATCATGGTGAGTTCGAGGCCAGTAGCAAGACCGTCTCGAAAAACAAACAAACAAAAAATTGTACTTGTAAATGAAAGAGCAGATGGTAAGGGTGGAAGGGTGAAGGCAGTGGGTACGAAAGAAGATGCGTGTTAGAGGACAGTGCTATACAGTAGGGTGCTGAAAAGCAGAGGGAAGGGAATTTAGAAACAGCCTTCTTTACAATTTGGTCGAGTGCTGCTCTTCACCACGGTGGCCGGCGGGCTAAGACCCCGGTGGGGGATGGTGCAAAGACTCAGCTGCTGTCACCCGTGAGCCCACCAGAATGCCACGGGCTTTCGGGGGCCGTCTCTGGAGCAGGTGTGGTTAACCTTCCTGTCTGCCCCCTCGGTTCAGCTGGCCGTGTTTATTTACTATGCCGTGTGGAAGCCTCAGAAACAGTGGATCACCTTGGACACAGGCATCTTGGACAGTCCCTTCACCTACCGTCCTGACAAGAGGAAGGAAGCCTGGAGGTTCCTCTCGTACATGCTGGTGCATGCTGGGTAAGGAATGAAAAACTGGAACCCCCAACTTGGGTCTGGAGCTTTATGACTGATGAGACACTTTCATGTCCATTATCGTTTGACTCTGGCGGCAACATAGGAGGCAGGTATCTCTCCCACTGTTTTGTGGCTGTAATAATATAGGGTTGTTTGTTTTGAGACAGGGCCTCACTATCTAGCCCAGGCTGGCCTCAAACTCATGGCGGTCCTCCTGGTGCAACCTCCCGAGTGCGGGGATTACAGGCGTGCGCCACCACGCCCAGCTGTGGCTGTGATACAGACACGCAACTGAGTCGGGGTGAGGACTTTTTTGACCCACCGGTGCACTGCATCGGAAGTGCCGACTATTGGTACTGACACAGCAATACTAATGAGACCAAATCATTATCAAGCCGAAAGGAGACCCCTACTTGTTGGATGCTGACTGTTCTCTTTAGGTTATGAAACGGTGAAACTGAATCACCAGTCTACCCCGCTTCCCAGTCTCCACACTTGAAGACAATTCATAAACATTTTGATGCGTGTATGACACTGCTGTCTCTCTGAAATGACCCAGGTAGTACTTGCCTGCCTTTTGGTTTTGCTTCCCATTTCCTAAATGCTGGCAGCTTCTCATGACCTCACTCAGTGTCTCCAGTGCCCCCTTCCCACTACATCACTGTGCAGCTTGTTGGGGTGGGGTCCTGTGGTGTCAGATGGGTCAACCTCATCTGTGTGACTGGCCCGGTCCAGACGGCTCCTTTGACCAGTGGCTAAAGAGGCATCCGTGGCAGGATGAAGGACTCAGAGGGTTAAATCAGGGATAGAAATCCCCAGATGCCCAGTTTCTGTAGATATTTCCACACTTTGGTTTTCTGTTTAACAAGTATGTTTTGAGCAAATGTGGCTTCTGCATTTAAGGACTTCAAAATTTTAAGGGAGAACAGTAAAGTAGCAAAGTAAGGCAGTCATATACTATTATAGTACACAATAGCTACTTTTTTTCCCACAGTAGCTACTTAACCTCTCTGTGTCTCAGTTTTCTCATCTGTAAAATGGGAGAATGACACCTAATTCACGAGGTGGTTGTGATTAAAAGACATGACAGCTATGAGGTTCATATAATGCAAACACACTAAGGCACTAAAGAATTTGCAAGGCTGTGTGGGACATGTCATATATGGGGTGCATAAGTTAGAAATGCTTTTAGATATAAATAGCAAATCTAACTCACAGAGGCTTAAATAAATACAGGCTCATTTTTCCTCATAGGAAAGGTTCAGAAGTAGGCAATTGGTTTATCAGTTTAATGAAGCCAGGGCTCTTGGTCCTGTTGTGGCCTCTCTGCTGTTCCCTTGGTCTTTCATGCTTGCAAGCTGGCTGCTGTGTCACATTCAAAGGAAAGAGAAAGGGGAGAGACAGCTCCTAAGACTGATGTGTCCTTCTCTTTTGCCAAGATAGAAGCTCTCTGTCTTAGTTACATTTCTTGTTGCTGAGAAAAAAATACCTGAATGCAGGGAACAGGGAAAGGGGACGTAACCAGAACCCCTGCAGTGAGTCCTGGTCTCCTGTGAGCCACAACAGCACAAGGTAAATTAATGAATAAAGACAGGAAACCAGACTTAGGGAAGAAGCTGAGCTTTGGGACTGATCAGTGCTGCTCTGAGCAGCAAAGATGAAGGCACCCGAGCTTGTCCCTATGTATTGGGTCCACAGGGAGTAACAGACGACTCAGAGGGTAGCGATAATCCTCAGCCCCTGAGGATCTAATGCTGACTAGGATGGTAAGATGAGCAAAGGTGGTTCTTACAACATAGATGGGGTGAGTTAAACTGATAAGGAATTTGTCCCTCCCCAGGAGAGACCTTTCTACTCAATTCTCAAAGAGCTAGGATGTCTTCGACTGATGTAATCTTGCCCTTGAGTGTCACAGTATCATGGGATCACTAAGGTCTCAGCTGAGACCGGAGGCAAAAATGGAGTTATGTCTCTGCACGTCATAGCTGGCCTGTAGGCAAGAAGACTAGGCCAAGCAATTGTAATTTAATTGAGAAATGATTTTTCCCCAAATTATGTAGAATTGCTCCCAACACCTGACACCCAAAGGTAAAGGAGGAACGTTTATTTAGCTCAGTCTGTAGAGGATTCAGTCCGTAATTGGCTGGCTCCTAGGCAGAGTGGCACATGGCAGAGGGGCATCACAGGAGAAACGGTTCATGGTGGGCAGAAGGTAGAAAAGCAACAAGGGAGAAAAAAAAAGTCTCTTTTTGTCCCTTATATTGTATTCAGGCTACTGGATTAGGGCTCCAAACCGATCAGTGGACTGATTTAGTAATCTCACACCCTTCATCTCTGCAACACACATTCTAGATTCAGACACCTCCGAAAAAGCCCCACCTATGGATGCAGGAGGCTTTGGACCCAAACCATAACACTCTCTCAAAAGTCTCCTCAGGGGGCTGAGGATTTAGCTCAGTTGTTCCGCCTCCTGCCTCACAACGACATGGTCCCCAGTCCCCTGGTACCCCACAAAAAGGTCTCCTGTCAGTCCTATCAGCACTCTTAACCTGTTCCTCCCCCACCCACCTCCCTTCTTCTCTTTCTTTTTTTGAGACAGGGTCTCCCTATGCAGTTCAGGCTGTCCTCAAATTTGTGGTGATCCTCCTGCCCCAGCCTCTCTAGGGATTATAGGTATGTAACACCATACCTGGCTAGGAGCAGATATTTCTAATCTTTTTTTTTTTTTTTAATGTTTTAAAATGTTTTAATGTTTAGGTCTCCAAAACACTACTATAGTGCTACCTCAGTTCAAAGAATTAATTTGTTGTACAATTTTAGAAAAGATTACCACGTGTTGGAAAGATGGCTGTGGTTGTGTTTGTCACCTGATGCACAGTTTGCAAACAAAAACAAAAAAAAAATTTTTTGTTTTTGGTGTTTTGAGACAGGGTCTCACTATGTAGTTGAGGCTGACCTGGAACTCACTGTGTAGCCCAGGCTGGTCTCAAACTCACAGTGATCCTCCTGCCTCAGCTTTTGAGCGCTAGGATTATAGGTGTGTGCTATCACACCCGGCTATTTAAAATGAAAATATTTTTTTCTTTTGTGGTACTGGGATTGAACTCAGGACCTTGCACTTGCAAGGCAGGTGGCGGAACAACTGAGCTAAATCCCCAGCCCCCAAAACAAAAAATTTGCCAACACTTCTGTGTGTGAACCAAATTGTTTTCAAACCAGAGTGTTCCTGAATTGAGGTGCCACTGCAGAGCTGTTCTTGCTACATTATTCTGTGCTGAATTCGTATCACCACTCATAGGTCTTTGAAGATAGTTTGGACACTGATTTTAAGGCTGGGTGCATGAAAGGCCATCCAGGTACGTAATCTGTCCTGCAGGATACGCCAGAGGAGCTCTTCTATGACCCTCTTCTATGATGGGTATTTGTTAAGTAAATGATGATGCAAAAGTATTCTCCTTACAAGTATGAAAACTGCTTCACTATGGAAGATCCAGTGCCTATTTTGGTTTTGAACTTTGGTTTAATGTGAAATCTCCTTTTAAAAAATAAAAATTATGCTGTGACAACTAAATGAAGGGTTACTCTAATGTGAAAAATTTTCTAATTATGTTTAAAGATTCTCCAGAAGTGCTTTGGGGATTCAGTAAGCAAGATAATAAGAATACTATTTAAAAATATTTTACCTTGCCGGGAGTGGTGGGGCACGCCTGTGTTCCCAGCACTGGGGAGGCTGAGGCAGGAGGATCGCTGTGAGTTTTAGGCCAGCCTGAACTACATAGCGAGACTAAAAAAAAAAAAAAAAAAAAAAAAAAAATCTATTGAAATGTAAACTAAATAGAGCTTTAAAAGTCTACTGAAACTAAAAAGAATTACTGAAATTTAAACTCAGTGAATTAGGATTTTTTCAAAACTGCAATGGAAATAAAATCAAATGCTGAGGCTGACGAGTGCAACTGTCATCCTAACCCCAAATTTCAAGTTTTTATTTCTTAAATCAGCTTCATTAATCCATGTTTCATAATTGTTAGACTTACAAAATGTATTTATACTTCTAAAATGCCCTTTTATTGGTTTTACATATTGAAACACCACGCAAGATTTTATTTATTTATGTATTTATTTCAAATATAGCAAAGTTTTATTAAAGCTAGGAAAAGAAACAGGCTCTGCAGAGCAAGTTTGAGCCCAGTAAAAGTAGGAAAGGAAGTACACCTGCAGAGTGGGGCAGTCCACCATGTAACAGCAAACAGAGTGACTGCAAGATTTTATTTAAAAAAAAAGGATCAGGGGCCAGGTGTGGTGGTGCACGCCTGTAATCCCAGCCCTTGGAGGCTGAGGCAGGAGGATCGCTGTGAGTCCGAGACCAGCCTGAGCAACATAGTGAGTTCCAGGTCTGTCTCAACTATGTAGTGAGACCCTGTCTCAAAAAACCAAAAAAAAAAAAAAAAAAAAAAAAAAAAAAAAAAAAAAGATCAGGGATGTAGTTTAGTGGCATCGCACCTGCCTGGCAAGTGCAAGGTCCTGAGTTCAATCCCTGGTACTGGAAAAACAAAAAGGAATTGCCCACCAAAATAATTAGAAAAGGAATTCTAGCAAATCCTTAATTAGAAACAACACATCCCAAGGAAAATGTGCGTGAATATTTGACAAGTTTGTTTGTCTCTGCAGAGTGCAGCACATCGTGGGGAATCTCTTCATGCAGCTTGTGTTGGGGATTCCCCTGGAAATGGTCCACAAAGGCCTCCGGGTGGGGCTGGTGTACCTGGCGGGAGTGATCGCAGGTCAGTGTTCCAAGGGTGACATGGAAGCAACCCTTCTGGGCTCTTAGGATTAAAGCAAAGGAAGCTGACATTCATAGTGGGCTTAAGTCGAGGTTTATTGTGCTAGGGAATGCACTGAGCACTAGAGAGAATTTGAGAACACAGGTTAGAATCTAAGCTCCTGAAGAAAAGCCTATCATTGTGCCTATCCTCAGATACTACATTCAGGGCTCTGCACAATTGGAAACTGCAAGCACTTTGGTGCACAGGGCACATGCATTGAGGAAAGGCCCAAAACCAGATCGTGAAGCCCTTTACGTGTCAAACTAACAATCTGGGGAAGTGATATGATCCAGTCTGAATTCGAGAGACAAATTTGGGCTGGGGATATAGCTTAGCAGTAGCCTGCATGAATCGAATGTGTGAGGCCCCGGTGGAGAGCAGGAAGCTGTCAAGATCCACATTAAAAGAGAATTGATGTGGGCTGGGGACTTAGCTCAGTGGTTCTGCCGCCTACCTCGCAAACACAGGTCCTGAGTTCAATCCCCGGAACCAAAAAAGAAAAAACAAACAAACAAAAGAGAACGGACAGCAAGGGATTTAGCTCAGTGGTACCACTTTTTGCCTTGTAAGTGCAAGGTCCTGAGTTCAATCCCTGGTACAAAAAAAAAAAAAAAAGAGAGAGAGACAGCTGACAAGGCTTAGTGACATAGCTTCCCACCCAACTTCCCTCCTACCTTTTTGGATTCTGTTTTTGCACCTTCTCCTTCTGTCTCTTCACGTAATTCTTTTTTCCTGCCTTGGAAAACCTTTTGTGATGATCAGATCCTGCCTGGCTCCAGGTGCTACATCCATGTTTGTCCCATGGCTTAAGTTCAACCCGTGGACTCAGCCCTGTCCCAGTTACAAAGCCAAGGAAGAACGTGAATAACCTGTTCACATCCTCTGCCTATTTTTGCAATAGCTTCTTGGCAGGAATCTCCATCCCATTCCAGGCTTTCCTTTACAGGCTGTTTGGATCATTTCCCCTAAACCTACTCAACAATTAACAGTGGCCAAAAGAAAGTCCAAACAAGCACAGATGGTCTTCATTACCCTCCACTATTTGGCCTCATTGCTTCCCCGGCTTTGCTGTTCTTCCCTAGCTAGAGTCCTTCATCTGTGATATAATTCTAGTTCCCTTATCCTTGCCTCTGGGAAAACGTGCCACGCACCAGCAGAGGCAGCACAACCGGACAGCTTGTTAGATCGTTGCATGGTGGCCCCAGATCAGACCTGTCAATCAGAATGCTCATTTAACAAACGCAAGGCGTCTCTCACACACATTAAAGACTGAAGTGTGCTGGCCCGAACTGCAGCCCAATGTCCCCCAATCTGACTGGCAGCCAGGATCACCACAACCTTAAGTCCTGACAACCGAGGACATCAGGGGCCACCCAGATCCCCCGAATCAAAACCTGTGGGGGCGGGGCTCCAGGATCTGCGCCTTGTTTTTCTTTGCTTAGTGAGGTATAACTGCTATACAATAAAATACACACATTTAAAGCGTACAGCTTGATGTGTGTATACAAGCATGACAATATTCTACGTGATGCTCCCTACGTCATATATGAAGGAATTTCGGAGAACGACAAAGCAAGGCAGGCAAGTGAGGCCAGGCTTTCTCAGGCATCGCACCCCCTGCCCCCAGATGTTTCCTGCGATCCTCCCCGCCCCAGCAACTACCAATCTATTTTCTGGAATTATAGATTAGTTTGTATTTCCTAGAATTTTATAAAGCGGAGTCCTAGAGTGTATCCCATCTATTGTCAGGCTGCTTTCAGTCAGCAGAACCGAGGTTTACTCATGCTGCCTGTTAGTTCTTGGCCGCATGTTGTGCTGGGTAGTGCTTCACCGTGCGGTCAAACCTTGCTCCGTTCATCCATTCTTCTGCTGACAGACACTGAGTTGTTTCCGATTTGAGGCTATTACAGAAGAAGTTGCAATGAACATTTGTATGCAAGTCTTTGTGCAACACCTACTTCTCCTCATGGATCTTTAGTCATTCACGCGTTTTCCTTTATTAGATTTGTAAGAAAAAAATTTTTTTTCTGTTTTTTTTTTTGGGACAGGGTCTCACTATGTAGTTGAGATTGACCTGAAACCACTATGTAGCCCAGGCTGGTCTCACAGCGATCCTCCTGCCTCAGCCTCCCGAGTGCTGGGATTACAGGTGTGCGCCACCACGCCCGGCCAAGAAAAATTTATATTTGCTTTATATTTTTGTAGTCAGACTTGAGGATCAAAGCTATCTTTCTAAAAAAGAGAATTCAGATCACACTCTCCCTGTCTATACTCAGAAACCATTTAAATAGTTCTTTGAAACTTTGAAGAAACTCACCGTGGACACAGCTTCAGAGCAGTGGTTTTGACTACTTTCTGAAAATTATCCAGTTAGTAATCTATATTTTTCTCTTACTATTTTTCCATTTATATTTATCTGTTTTAAGCCAGTGTCACAATTATTTTGTCTTTATCCATCATTGTAAACTCCTTCCTCTTTACTCATATTGTGCCTTGATGTTGTCATTTTTTTTCTCTGATTTCTCAAACTGGTGATTTTAACATTCTTTGGGGGAAGTTAAACACGCTAAACTTCCCAAATGCTCTGAAAGGTTCAGCGTTCTAAAGAACTTTGTTTCACGCTGAGAATGCTAAGAAATTGCTCCTTGAGGCAAGCTAACAGGCGTGCACATTAAGCGCGCTAACAGGCACACATCTAAGTGCTCTTCGATGAAAATATCAGGGCCTCAGTGTGGTTCTGCTCAGACTTACCTATGTATTTGAGATCTCCTGAATCTCTTCACCCAAAATTTATTTTTTGGGGTGGAGCTACACTTTTTCTTTTTTTTTTTTTGGTACCAGGGATCGAACTCTGGTCCTTGCACTTGCAAGGCAGGCGGTGGAACTGCTGAGCTAAATCCATAGCCCAACACCCGAATTCTTATGTAAATTCTTTATCTTTTTGTGTACTGTTATGGTTTAAATCTAAAATGTCCCCAAAGACTCGTGTGTGGAAGGGGACCGGGACATGGAGGGCCATATTCATCAGCTGGTTCATCTGCGGCTGAGTTCTAAGCTGAACGTGCCATTAGGAGGAGGAGCCGGACGGTTGAGGGGTTACACCCCAGCCCAGCTCCTGTCTTCCGGCTGCCGGGCTGGACAGCCTGCCTTCCTCCACCATGCTGTTTCTGTCTTGGAGCCTGGTGACCATGGACTGGAACCGTGAGGCCAAAACAAACCTCTCCTCCTTCAAGCTGTAGGTGTTGGGTATTTTGTCCCAGTGGCAGGAAAGTGACTGACAGGTGTCCTTTTTTGTTGGTGGTGGTACGTTTGATTCTCTGGACGCTGCTCAAACCAAACTTACTTGTTCCTCAAATCTTTGAAATAAGTGCCTTTTGTTTTTATTTTTTTTGCATGTTAGGAATTTTTTGCCCCTGCTTTGGCAGTTTAGATCGATTTTGCCTTTGGGCTCAAACTTCCCAGTTAGCCTGTCTTGACTCAAAAAGGGCATTACCCAGCTACGGATAGGTTATATTGTCACTAACACAAAATCAGTGATGCATTTATAAACTATTTAGGACACGATCTTGTCAGGCAGGAAAGAAGTAGCAACAGTATCATCCCGGAAAACACCGCTATAAAACATTTAACCTTTAAATGAGCCATCACTCATGTTTTATATTGTTATATAATGGCACATACATACGATTGTACATATGTTTATACCATGTACATGTATACATACACACACAATTATATACGTCTTCTTCACCAAATCCTGAAGCCAGGTTTAAAATAAGTCCTGACACATACCTGTAACCCCGTCATCCTGGGAATCTGAGGCAGGAGGACTGTACAGTTGAGCCTAGCCTGGGCAGTTTAGCAACTTAGTGAGAACTTGTCTTAAAAAATATATAAATAAAAAAAAAATAAAGGATTAGGAATGTAACTCAGTGCAAAGGCCCTGGGTTCTATTCTCATTTCAGAAAAAGAAAAAAATCCTAACATTAATTTGGAGCAATAATTGAGTTCAAGAAAGGCCTTTCTTTAAAAATTCAGAATTGCGATTATCATCTATACTAGTAAACTATTATAGTTTGTTTGAATCTAGCCTGGACAATTTAGGAATTAGTGAGAACCTGTCTCAAAATTTAAAAATTAAAAAAACAATTTTGGGGAATGTCAGTCAGTGCAAAAGGCCCCGAGTATCCCCAATACTGCTCTCTCCCCACAAAAAGCTAACTCCTCTTTCTCAGAATAACTGGTCCACTGCCTTTATGCTGAAAAAGTCACTTCTTCCTAAGTATTTCTATAGCAAGTTTAAAATTTTTTATTTATCTATTGTTTTGGTACCAGGGATCGAACTCGGGACCTTGTGTTTGTGAGGCAGGAGGAAGAAGCACTGAGCTAAATCCCTGGCCCAATTTCTTTATTTTAAAAATATGGAATGCTGCACAAATTTGTGGGTTATCCTCGTGCAGGGCCATGCTAGTCTCTGTACTGTTCCAATTTTAGTGTATGTGGTGCCGAGGCGAGCACTACAGCAAGTTTATTATATTTTACTTACTCATTTGGGGCTGAAGATTGAATCTAAGACCTTATACATGCTAAACACATGCTGTACCACTCAGCTACATCCCAGCCATTTTATCATATTTTTATTTATTTTTAAATAATTTTGATTTTACCCCATTCTCTCTCCCTCCCTATTTATTTTTGAGACAGGGTCTCACTATGTAGTTCAGTTCAGGCTGGCCTTGAGCTCACAGCAGTTTTCCTCAGCTGCCTGAGTGCTGGGATGAGAGGTGAGCGCCGCCGCACCTGACTACATGTTAAACATGGTGGTTTCAGTCTGCCTTTTATAGTAATAGTTGTTTGCTCATCTAGTATCAGTTTCCTAGGTCTTTTTTTGCACAAAGTAGGAATGGTATTATATTGTACCCTAAGGAACGAAGGGAGGTGTTAAAGGAGGAGACCAGGTAATGGAAGTAAACAGTACAGAGAGAACATTTTAGAGTTTGTGTAAGGTGGTTCGTAAAACCTTGTTTTTGTGCAAGATTGGTTGGGAAATATAGTTCATCTTGTTTAGGGAATCTAATTGAATGGCATTTTGATAGGATTTTGAGGCTGCATCATGGCTCTGGGACAAAGATAGCCCATAGATGATAAAACACGGAATGTTTCAGATATTTTGATAGTTTTGACCAACTGCAGGGACACTGTGAATCACAGGTATACGTTATATCCCAGGCAGAGTTCTAAGGACTACATGTGTAAAAACGCATTTGCTTCTCCTGGCAATCCCCTGAGGTCAGCTCCATTAATACTCCTACTTTGTAGTTAGGGAAACTAGGGTAGAGAGAGGCTAAGTAGCTTCCTCACATCACACATCTGGTAAGTCTGGCTCCAGAGTCTGTGCTCTTGTCTCTATTAGACTGCTTTTCTATAAAACATAGAATGTCTCAGAAAAGTTGGGGAAGTTAGAAAGATTTCTTTTTTATGATTCTTATAGTCATGTGCTTTATTTCTTCAGGTTCCCTTGCCAGTTCTATTTTTGACCCGCTCAAATCTCTGGTGGGTGCTTCAGGAGGAGTCTATGCCTTGATGGGAGGCTATTTTATGAATGTTCTAGTGGTAAGAACTGGGGGAATGGGGTCTATGAACGCTGTTATTTTCCCAAGGCTCGGAACTGCACATGCTAGGTGAATGAATGTTCCATCCCCAGCCCTTTGTCCCGGAACAAAAACTGTTGTTTGGTCCAGAGAATCTTCATTTGTCAGTATTTACTGAGCACTAATCTTCTTTATGAGAATCACTGCTACCAAAGTTTACCTTCTGTATTTTATATTCTCATCTTAAAAGTAATGAGGACTAAATAAAACTCAGTGAATAAAAGAGAGTTAAGATCCCCAATATAGTATCGATCAACAGATCTATGTGTCTACCTATCTGGTATGCTAAAAAATGCAGTATTTAAGAATTTAAAAATTATTTTGGTAAAAATCACATTGCCATTAACCCCCTAAAACACTCCGCTGTATTTTGAACACACTTATTCCATCCTTCTTGCCGCTTTCTGAAGCTGCTTTGGAAGTCTTCTTTCGTGTCTTGAGTTGCTCTGTGTGACTTCCTTGATGCCTGAATTGATCCAAGACATTTAGCCCTCTTGGTCATTTTGATTTTAGAGAAGACCAGAAATTGCATGGTGCCAGATCTGGTGAATAAGGTGGATGAAAACATACTGTCATGTTTTTGACGGAAATTGCAGTCAACGGTTGATCAATGGCAGGTGATCATAAGATATTGGTGAATGTTTAAATTTAAAAAAATTACTACAGTACAAGACACACTGGTAATAATCCTTCCCCAAATACTCAAAATAGTCCCCCTGGCTTTGAACACACTTGTCCCATTTTTCCTGGCAATGTGTCTTTTCCTGAAATAAAGTTTTAAAAAATGTAAACACTCACCATATCTCTCAATCACCCCTGTATCTATGTCTACCTATGTAATGTATGTTTATATATAAAATCTCCCATCAGACATTTCCTATGTGTGTTCAAGAGCTGACTAACAGTAATACTACAGGATGCCCTCCCCTTTACAGCCTGTATCCTAACCATCGAGGGAGCTGCCTGTCTTTCCGTGTCAGTACACGGACTTCCCTCTCAGTATCTGCAGCTACTCGATAGCATCCTTTGTATAGCTGCATCTGACTTACCTAGAGATCTCACTGAAAAGTAATGTGGGGCAAGGTTAGCTCTTCCTATTTATATATAATGCGGCAACACATTCTTTTACATTTATCTTGCATTTGTGCATTTTTTGGTAGGATACATTTCTAGAAGTAGATTTACTGGATGAAGCTTTTAATTTCAATATGCAAATTGCCTTCTGAGGTTGGCCTATCATTTTTTTTTTTTTGTACCCTGGATTGAACTCAGGACCTTGCACTTGCGAGGCAGGGGTGGCACCACTGAGCTAAATCCTTGGCCCTTGGCATATCATTTTTAATGCTCACATGATAGTGAAAGTGCCAAAAGTCTGTTTGAAGAAGATTAAAATCTTGATTTGTTCTCGATCCTTTAATCATTTAAGTATATTTAAAAATATTCTAGGATGACAAATATCAAGCAATTATAAAACTGTGCCAAATACAGAAGTCATTTAGAAGGATGTTTTTCAAACTTTGGATTGCAAACCATTAGTGGTTGTGAACCCAGTTTAAGTCGTGTGATCCAAAATTAAACAAAAAGAAAAAAATATCAGTGTGATCACATGCACTAAGGTTAAGTACTGTTCGATTTATGTGTGTACTGAGTTATGTAAATTATTTCTTAACTGTAGGTCATGTTCATGACAGCTTGAAAATAACTGATTTAAAATAAACACTCCAATTTCAGCACCTCTACACCCTGGGAAGGGCTAATAACTTGGAAGGGAAGGGAGCAGCAGCTTGATAAATTGCCGTGGGGGTATCTGACTCAGCACAGACTGCTGCAGGCCGGAGTGAGAATGTTCAAAGCTAAAGCTGAGCATTGTTTTTAAATCAACATTTTAATTTCCTCTGAAATTATCGTTAAATAAAGTAGTACATTTTAGTTGAGTCTTTGCTAATTACTGCTGGGAAGAGGATGAAGTAGCAAGTGAATATTAACCAAAAAAGCTTAGAAGTATTTTATCAGCCTTAGTTTGATAATATTTATTTATCTACCTATCTATCTATTGACATGTTAAGTGTTGATTTTATATTACTTCTACTTAATTTCTGGTTAATGAAATTGTACCTGGTTTATAGCATGGAATTAAACATCATAGATCATTTTGTTGTCCAAAGTACACTCACACTCTACTTCCCAGGTATGTTTGAAAACTCAGCTGTTACATCCATGCTTTGTTTTGCAAATATTTAAGACTCAAACATTGCTTTAAATGAAAAGTCAGGTGAAGAGGGAATGGGGTTGAGGTTTCATTTGCCAACAGATAGCTAATATAATTATAATTTATCTCTTTGCAAGAATTTTCGAGAAATGATTCCTGCCTTTGGAATTGTCAGACTACTGATCATCACCCTTATAAGTAAGTGAGTTTTGTAGACACTACTCTTTCAGTTTTCCTGGTGCAAGCTTCAGGAGGCCTTTTCGTATTTCTCAAACACTAACGTTAAGGGTGACTCTCAGACTAGAGTCAGGAAGAATTGTTGGTGTCACACTCTGAGTCAGGAAAAGGTAACTGGAGGACTTTTCAGACAGTTGGGGTGGTTTTGAGAGGTACCTTGCTGATATGTTTCTGCTGTGTCTTTCTAGAGTCAGAGGAGCCATGAGGCCCCTTCCACTCTGACCACAGTAGCTCACTTATGTTTTATGTCCTGGATTTTCTCTTTCAGAAACTGGAATCTGTATATATTTTTATCTAGAAAAGGAAAACTTGAAAACACTGAGATAATCTATCTTCTTCCACAATTTCTTTCTTTCTTTTTTTTTTTGGTACCAGGGATCGAACTTGGGTCCTTGTGCTTGCAAGGCAGGTGGCCGGACCACTGAGCTAAATCCCCAGCCCCGTCTTCCACAATTTCTAAATTTTAAGATTGAAAAAGCACACTGATCTAGGATATAAGCATTGAGTGGTGGCTGGGAATTGAAGACAAGGGGTGGAGGTCAAGATACCAAGACTCAGAAACTGGAAGGGTGATTAACTGGGTTCTTGAAATTTCCAAGAATTCTAGCATCATGCCAGAGCAGGGAGGAAGGAGTCTTGCTTTGAAGAAGAGCTGGGGATGTAGCTGAGTGTGAAAGCAGTAACAGACTGGGTGAGGGCAGGCTGCTTCAGGTAGAAGGAAAGGCATGCGTAGTAACTTGAATTTAGGGATCTGTTTCAGGTAAAGCTGTACCCACAGGGAGGCTGGGGGAAGAGGACAGACCTTCAGATCAGACTTGAAAGCCAGGGCAGAGGAAACACTTGATAAAGCCTGTGGTTTTTGGTGTCAAGCCTTCCACTACTAATATTGATACCAGGAACAACTAACCACGCTTTTGAAAGAGATTAGAGTATGAACCATTTAACTGTAAAAAGGCCAGTATTTCATGCTGAGCCAAAATAACTCACTGGTTTATAGTCTATAATATATTGTGGATAGTTCTTTCTCCGAAAGAAGAACAAAGTGTAAGGGAGAACTGTGGGCAGAGACGCGAGAGCCAGGGTCTGGAAGCCAGGAGGGCTGCTGGGGGAGCAGAGCTGCCTCTTGAGGTCTTAAGAATCACAACCAGTGGGAAACTGAGGTAAGAGGATGGCAAGTTCATGGGACGTAGCTCACCGTGAAGGCAAGGCCCTGGCTTCAGTCTCAGGAGACAGAGAAAGGATCTCAGAGGGGCAGAGATAGACAGATATCTAGGTCTCAATCTGCTGCTTTTATGGAATTATAAATAAATTTATAGAAGGAACCTCATATAGTAGGGAAATGGCTTATGCTCTTCTTTAATACTCACAGCAGAAACCTTTTCCTTACGCATAGGATATCTATGTAATTCTCACCCCCCCTGCTTTTATTTATTTATTTTTTTGGTTCCGGGGATTGAACTCGGGTTTTTGCACTTGCGAGGCAGGCAGTGAACAACTGAGCTAAATCCCTGGCGCTTGCTTTTATTTTATTTTAATGTAATACAAATAGACATTAATAAAGTATGTATAAAAATTCTATGAAAAACTTCTAACTTATACGAAAAACAAAACAAAGTTTCATAACAAAATAATTAGAGAACAATAGATGATACACCATATATCATGATCTTAAAAGAACGGCCAAAATGTCACTCTCAGAGTACAAGTCATAGACAAAAAAGACTTACAAAGAAGAAACAAACAGCGGGGCGTGGTGGCACATGCCTGTAATCCCAGCACTCGGAAGGCTGAGGCAGGAGGATCGCTGTGAGTTTGAGAAACAAAAGGACAAAACTTTCTTTTCAATGAACAAAGAGAAACTAGTAGTACACATGCTTAGAGACCGCATGGTTTATCTTATGTGAGAAACTCAAAATATCTGTGTAATCTGTGAGGCAAGTACGAAAATGATCTCCTTCTTCGACAGCGTTTTGCTATATAGTACAGACTAACCTTGAACTATGTAGCCCAGGCTGGCCTCAAACTTACCGGGATCCTCCTGCCTCAGCCTTTTGAGTGCTGGGAACACAGGTGTGCCCCATCACACCCAGCACCTCTTTTTCTTTTTTATTTCTTCCTGTACTTGGGGATTGAACCCAGGGCTTTGTACATGCCTAGGCAAGTGATGTACCACTGAGCTACATCCCCAACCCAGAGATGTGCTTTTATTGTATCCTATGAACACCTTATACAAGTTCAAGTTAGTAGGATATACTGTTAACCTGGCCTGAAAATGAGAAATGGCCTGAAAATGAGTTCTTGGCCTGAAAACGAGAAGAATTAAAACATATATCACATAGCTGGGTGTGGTAGCGCACACCTGTAATCCCAACACTTGGGAGGCTGAAGCAGGAGGATCACTGTGAGTTCAAGACCAGCCTGAGCTACATAGTGAGTTCCAGGTCAGTCTCAACTACATAGTGAGACCTTGTCTCATAAAACCTAAAAAAACAACAACAAAACAAACATATATCACATTAATAAGATACAAGCTAAGGAATACATATCAATTTGATACATATTTCCTTGGAAACATGTATGCAGTTTTAAGTAGTAAACATTCTTATTTGTGAAGGATAACTGGTCTTAAGGACCATTCTTCATTAAGCATTTTTTATGGGATGTAATTTCTAATTATGCAACAGCTTCCCTTGGGGGAAAAATGAGATTCATATTTTAACTTTGTAAAATAATATAAAAGCATCTCTCTTAAAATGTCTGTCAAATTTTTCATATGGATAGTGATTTGGTTTATTGGAAAAAAGGCCTTTTTTTATCTATCTCAGTATGAAGACTGCAGCAACCCAGGAGGAACTGCTCCGAGGAAGTAGAACTAGCCAGGCAGAGATGTAGGAAGGGCCAAGATACACAAGGGCGAAATGAGATGGAGAAACTGAAATGCTAATTGTCCTAAAGGCTTTTTTAAGACAGTGTCTCATTATGTAGTTCAAGCTGGTCTCGAACTTGCAGCGATCCTCCTGCCTCAGCTTTAAGAAAAATTATTTATTTATTTGGTTTAAAGCTGTCTCATTTATTATTTAGGCTATTTAGACAGTATGTTTATGTTGAAAAGGGAAGCGAATTTTTCAGTTGCTTTTTTTGGGGGGGCACTGGGGATCAAACTCGGGACCTGCTTGCAAAGCAGGTGGCAGGACCACTGAGCTAAATCCCTGGCCCTCAACTGCTTTTAAAAAAGTAAATAGTAATGAATTTACTGTTATACTCAAAATCGTCTACGTTTAAGATGAGAGTCTTTGCCAAGAGAAAGGAGCTGCTCCAAATCATGAATGGTATTACAAAGGACTGCAATCTCTGTTTTTTTCTTCTTGAAGAGGTTGAGAAGCTTCCTTCTGTAGATGCTGTGGGGAAATAGTAGCATCTGGATATGATTTTGATTTAGTCTGAATCTTGCTAGTTTGGCATCAAACTCCAGCTGTAGTTTGATTATTTCATTTTGCTTTTTTTCTTGAGTTATTAACTTTGTGTTTAACTCTGAAATTTCCATCTTCTTTATTAGATTTTTGTGCTTTTCTTCATTTAATTCAACTTTTTTCTGCGTATCTTGATAAAGTTTGCTTATTTCTATCTTATGTTCTTCCTCTTTGATTTTCATTTCATGTACAAGTTTGGCAATATTATTCTTATATTCCTTTCAAATTGTGTTGATATTCAATGGTCTGTTGTAGCCCTTTTACCATATCACAAAAAGCAGCACAACCTTTTCTGTCTGGGAGAAGTCCTTTATAAGTTTGTCAATATTCACACTACTGATCTTTTTTGTACATTCTTTACTAGTTTGATCATGCTTGAATTGCTGTTGTTCCTGGTACCTCAATGTCTCTCCCACCTCAATCCATTTTTTTTTTTTAAAGAACAGTGTCTCACTGCGTTGCACAGGCAGGCCTTAAATTTGTAACCCCCCTGCCTCAGCCTCCTGCGCAACTGGTATTACAGCGGTGCACCATCAACCCTGGTTCCTTCTCCTGCTCTTCCTCCCTTGTAGCTTACTTGTGAAGAGTGGCCCGGATGATCTTTATAAAGCACCCATTAGATTTGTCACTCCTCTGCTCAAAAACTTTCCAAAGCTTTCTGAAACTCAGAATAAAAGTCCAAGTCCTTACAGTGGTCCATAAGACCTCTATGTGATCTATCCTCTGCTAGCTGTCTAATCTCATCACCTGCCACTTTATCCCTGATTCCAGTCCAGATCCACCAGACCCTCCTCCTCAAGTTTCTGGCTTGTAGTACTTTAACATCCACTAAGTCTTCTGGAGATGCGGATGTTGCTGGTCTTGGGAGAACTGCGTTTTGAAAAGCAGGTCACCTTCACTAGTGTCTTCCAGCACACCAGGCAGGCTTCCAAGGGACTTTGTGCTGGCTCCCTTACCACCCTCAATGTCATATTCTCAGGAGATCCTCCTGAGTTCTCCTATTAAAAATCACACCCAGCCAGAAGGAGGATCACTGTGAATTTGAGCCCAGCCTGGGCTGCATAGTGAGTTCAAGACCTGCCTGGGCTACATAGTGAGATGCTGTCTCAGAAAAGCAAAAACAAAAAACCCCAAACTAAAATAAAGCAAAAATCACACCCTACCTCTGGCATTCCCAATTCTTTTCCCTCTCTATTTTCCGCGTAGTACTTAGCACTATTTGACACACTGTGTGCTTTGTTTGCTCCCCAGCTACACCATCAGCTTCACAGGGGAGGTCGCTATGAGCTGCTGTACATCTGCGCACTAGAACAGCGCCTACCACAGAGATGCTAATCTATAAGTACTTGTTGGATGAATAAATCCATAAAATAATATAACGATAGGACCTACTTCATAGGGTTGCTAACGAACGAGTTAATGAATGACAGAGCTCTGAGAACACAGAATAAAACCCAACTATGATTGCCTGTGATTATTACAGGGGATTCCAAACATTTGGTGCAGTGGTAAGAATCCGGGTACTTCATCAGTGTGTTTTTCCTTCTAGTTACGTCGGACATGGGATTTGCTCTTTACAGAAGGTTCTTTGTCCCTGAAAATGGATCTCCGGTGAGTTCAGTTTCTTTTCTTGAGATAAAAAAAAATTGTTTACTTATAAGAAGGGTTACCAAATATGGGTTGTGATTTAGGGTAGTTGAATATCCGTTTATAAATGAAGAAAATGCCTGAGCAAATCCAACTTATGGATGGTCCTTTCTCACTTGACTTGTTCACTGCCACACCTGCCTCATTGGTAGCCATTCCAGAATAGGACAGTAGGGTTTCCCTGCTCCACGGAGAGTCAAAAGCAGATGGAAATAAAGCAGTGGAAAATTGGGTTCATTGGAGTTTGTAACATAGAACTGATAAAAGATTTTCAGTTTTTCTGGGACAAGTCTTTGAATGTGGAGTTTGCTATCATTTGTATTTTAATTCTGGATCCCATTTCTGTAAGATGTCCCTTTTGGGATTGCTTGTGATCACTCAACTCCTATTCCTTTGGTGCGCTTTATCCAGAACCACCCTAAACGCAATGACGATCACAAAGCATGATAACTCTGTCTTGTGTTCTGAGAGTGGGTGGAAATGGGTTTTTTAGCTTTGCATAGATTAGAACATCTCCTCCTCTCTGTGCCGTGGAATCTTTTTGATACTTTTCTAGTTCTCCAGACTTTTACGCTCTTATGACGTCTGTGTGTGAGTAAGGAAAATGAAACAGAAATACAATTAGCATTTTCTTCACTTATTTCTATTTTCCTCCTTTTCCCCACAGGTGTCATTTGCAGCTCACATTGCAGGTGGATTTGCTGGAATGTCTATAGGTTACACTGTGTTTAGCTGCTTTGATAAGGCACTGCTAAAAGATCCACGGTTTTGGATAGCAATTGCTGCTTATTTAGCTTTTATTTTATTTGCTGTGTTTTTCAACATTTTCCTATCTCCAGCAAACTGACCTGATCGTTTTTAATATAAGCCAATTAATAACAAGAGCTAACTGGCAAGGAAATGGGAAACTATGACAAAACAGAAAACGGTCAGCAAATGGCAGCAATTGTTGAAAGAGGACAAAACAGCACTCAACTCCTGTGTTGCAAGGACTACCTATAAAAGGCCTTAAGACTTGGGGAGGTGACTTCTGAATGCAGAGAGAAGGAAGAGGAAGAAAAAATGACGTATAGGAAAAACCAGAGATTCAGTTGTTTCCAGGAGTAGGGTACCCATGTGTGTACCCTATAAGAGGCCTGCTCTCCTTGGAGGACATATTTTGGAGATGAGAGATTCCCTGACTGTACTATGCAGAGAATTAAAACGTTTCAAATCTGTGTCAGACTCTTGAAAATTAGTTTTATCACTGATAGGTCACTACTGCTGAGGTGTTTTGTATACATTATTGCTAATCTTTTCAACAACCCAGAATGGCAGGTACTGCTTTGTACCTCAGAGATGAGGATATGGGAACCTACAGGCCCTGTGTATCTTTAGTTTGCATCCATGGACTCAGCCAATCCCAGACTGAAAATACTTGAAAAAAAATTCCATCTATGCTGAACATGTAGACTTTACATTGTATTAAGTATTATAAGTAATCTAGAGATGATTAAAAGTATATGGGAGGATATCTGTACACAAAATCCAAGTATTATACCATTTGGTATGGTATAAGGGACTTGAACATCTATACGTTTGGGCAAATTCTTGGAGTCCTGGATCCAGTTTCCCACAGTTACCATGGGAGGATAATTCTTGTTTGGGGGAGAGAGGCAGAATTCAAACACAGAGGAAAGGGCCAGGGATTTAGCTCAGTGGTTCCACTGCCTGCCTTGCAAGTGCAGAAACCTGAGTTTGATCCCCGGTACCAAACAAACAAGCAAACAAACAAAAAAACCCCAAAAAACACAGAGGAAAACTTGAAAGCCTGACTGGTCTTAACAACGCTATATTCTCCAAATACTGAAAGTTAGGGTACTGTCGTAGTACTCTGTAGGTAAACCACAAATGGTAGAAATATCTTAACAGAAGGAGACTCTGAATTTTCTGGACTACTAGTTTAAGGCTTTAATAGTGCATCTGAGACCTCAAGGAATGTGGAATAGGTTTTCTGGTACATGCTACATTTTTTTTTTTTTTTTTTTTTTTTGTGAGACAGGGTCTCACTATGTAGTTCAGACTGTCCTGGAACTCACTGTGTAGCCCAGGCTGGTCTTGAACTCACAGCAATCCTCCTGCCTCAGCCTCCCGAGCGCTGGGGTTAAAGGCACGTGCCACCATACCCGGCTCATGCTATATACTTAGACTCTGGATTGTTATCTTTGATAACCTTCTCAGCTTTACCTGGTTAGTGTCTCTCCAAAGCCTGGGTAGGATTTATTTATAAAAGGTAAAATGTCATATCTGAATGAATATGTCAAGCATCCAAAACCACAAATGCTATGGGTTGATAGATTTAAACTATAGTATGAGAGTATCTACATTCTTACAGTATAGGGAAGTTAGTTTCCCACTGCTTGGCCAAGAGAAGGTATTATAAATCCTAAAATTTTTGTATTTTGATGTTGACAATATAACACTTCATCTAAATTTGCATTTCTTTAAGGAGGATGGATATTTTTCAAGTTTATTAATAACTTATATAACACATAATAAATATGAAAGGAATTTCTCCCTGATGAAATGTTTGTATTTACTCTAAACAGTAGCTATTAATTGACAAAGAGGCAGAGTGAAGAAATATTTTTCTGCCATGGCAACCCATGAAATCACTAGCTCTGAAGATACTACTAATGGCCTAAAGTAAAACATGACTGTTAATAACAGAAAATTAGAGGAACAGAATTCATCTAACTATGAAATCAGACATGACCCATTGATTATTAAGACTGATGACTATAAAGTTATTCTCTAATATGAAAGGTTTTTTTGGTGCTGCTAGAAACATTAGGTCATTACCAAAAACAGGGATATATTATCAGCAAAAATTACAGGAAAAAAGCACACAAATATCTCCTGAAGTTAGAGATTTGACATTTTTGAATACAGGAACTACTTATTTGACTTCCCTTGGCGCTTTTTAGTCTTCTAGGCTGACCTGAGTTATGAGAAATACTGGAAGCAATTCTTTACGCTGTTCCATAAAGCAGACAGTTAGCGCAGGTAGCTCTCTTAAGTTTATATTAAAATTAAACAAATGATGAATTCACCTATTCACAAGCTAGACTGCAAAGGCTCAATGCTGCATGGGCTAGTGGTTATCTTACCAGACAGAGCAGACAGAACATTTCCACTGTCGCAGAAGGTTTGTGCTGTCATACGAGCCAGAGTGCTCAGAGGGGAAGTGGGTTTCAGTCACTGACTCATTTACTGCACCACAATGAACTGGACCTTGCCATACACATCAAAGGGACAGATTCAGAGAACTGGCTGAGGAGGCCGTGTTATGCTTTACTTCTCAGGTTAACTTTACAAAGTTTCATGTTAATCTCTGTTTTAATTAAGAGAGAATTATTTCAAAGCTTTTTATCTTTTGCATTCTGTAGTACTATATTTACGTATGCTAGTTTTCACATCATTTGCTATGAAAGCTTTGTGACGAAATCTGCCTTTTCTTTTAGGAAATAATACGCTCTTATTCTTTCAAAAATTCGCGATTGCTCTTTGTGGTTATGAAAGTAAAGTACTTATGACAAAAATTAAGATATAGTTATAGAAATTAAGTCAATTGTAATCCCACCATTCGGAGATCATCACAGTTAATATGTTGATATTCTTCTAGAATTTTTTTGTAGGCATGTCTACATATAAATCAATTTACAATGGGACTACAGCATTCTATTTTATAGTCTGAATTTCACCGAAACAGTGTCAAATGTCTCTTAATTAGTCTATATGTATATTTGTCATTTCTACAGGTTGCATAGTATTACCTTGTGAATGTTACCATTATTTATTAAACTGGTCTTTTTTATATGGATAATTATGTGGATATTTTCAGTTTATGGTATTATAAATAATAATATGAATAACATTCCTGCTTACATGGTAAAATGCTTTGGGTTGGTGGGTCAGTCTACTCTTACTAATGATAATAAAGTCAACAGAAATTTTCTCTCTCAGGAATACACAAAATTATAGAGGGTTGATGCTTTTTGAAGTCTTAGTAACTGTACCAAGCTCCAAAAAACTAGATTCTAAAAGCCAAAACTATCACTATTTCATATTCCTAAATTTAAATACACATTTAAGAAAAAAAGAGATGATTTCTTAGTGTTTTCTTCGTGTAAATTTCAAGTTTGCTTAAAAAGGAAAAATAACAGCTTAGTAAAACAGGTAAGAGCTGACTATTCTTTAATTTTAATTATTTTTTGAAACAGCGTCTCACTCTGCAGGTCAGGCTGTCCTTGAATTCACTATATAGCCCAGGCTAGCCTCGAATTCACAGCAAGCCTCCTGCTTCAGCCTCCTGAGTTCTGGGATTACAAGCATGTGCCATCACATCTGGCAAGAGCTAACTCAATTTTTAAATTTTATTTATTTTTTTGGTACTAGGGTTGTTGCACTTGCTTGCGAGGCAGGCAGTGAAGAGCTACCTTTAGAGCCACATTGATGGGTTTGGATAACAGCTCTGCGGTGTGACCATGGGTATACTAAGGTGTACCAGTTTCTGCACTGGTAAAATGGGGTAAACAGTAAATGGGGAGATAGCTACTTCACAGGATTTTTGTGGTAGACCTATCTTCTAACTACAGTATCTTAGTATTTTGATTTCATAACATTTCCTTTATATAAGTTAAACAGGATATTTATATTTTAAATGAATGTGAATGAAGCTGGACATAGTTCCACATGCCTGTAATCTCAGTGCTCCGGAAGGCTGAGGCAGGAGGACAGCAAGTTCGAGACCAGCATGGGCAACAGAAATAAAAGAAACGGTAAAGGCTGCAGATATAGCTCAGTGGGAAGGCTTTGTGTTGAATCTCCAGTACGTGAAAAGAAGTGAATGAAAAAAATGAATCTACTTTTTTACCTCTTCTCTGGGGTATATTTCTTCTAAGACAGCCTAGGACAGAGGTGGCGAGTCTATGGCACATGTGCTGCAGCAGTTATGCAGGGCCCTCTCTGTTGGTGTGTGAGCCAAGTCGCCACAGCAAAGGTTTGAGAAATTATCAGCATGCATACAGCAGCAAAGATCACACTACCTGTGCACATGCATGCCAAATGCAAACTTTCACCTGTCAATAAAAAGCTGTTTGGATCACTGAAAGCTCTGTTACTGTGTTTTCCTCTTAAGACAAAATATGTTAATGTATGACTTGTTTTTTCTAAACTAAAACCTCAGTATTCGGGTTTAATGGCAGTGTTGGCACTTTGCAATATGTGGGTTTGAGGTTGCAGCTTGGCCATTCGATCTCTAAAAGGCTGACCATCACCAGCCAAGGACATAAACCTTAATATGAAATTTACTGGCTAGTAACCCAAGCAGCTAAATTATAATTTGCTCCACTGTTCCCTTTAAATAAAGCAAGCTACATGTCTTAAATAGGTCAAATTTATTACAAGGGAAGTTTCTATAATATCACTATCACACTAATGATCAATCTATTTTGGGTTTTACCTAATAACAATTGGTACTGTAAAAGAGTTGAGAAGATCTAGTTTGTTTTAACAGGAAAAATTTTATAAAAATTTTAAGCAAAGCAAAATAATTTTATAAATATTCATAAATATTACTGGAATGGATTTTTTAAAATGTTCAACAACTTTCAGAAAGAAACCAAAACTTAGATATTCAAATGTGGATTAAAAAAACTATAGTAAGAGCTAGATCTACTCATTTTCCTATGTGTATTTGTGTACACCTCATCGTTGCTAGGTATATAGTAAGACTTAAAATCACTGACTTTGGTTGTAACTTTTACACATAATCTTAATAAGTTTGTTTATAAAATCAAATCAATAGTTTTAGGAACCTCTATGAGTTCCTAGTTAAAAAAAAAATCAAACTTCAGCTAAATAAGACAATTCCTGATAAGGGA